CATCCCAGTCAGTGGCGACGACGACGCCAGGGGCGACGAGGGAGCCGACAGCGACGACGGCGCCGACGGGGATCCCAAGAAGGTCAAGGTCGGCCGCGCCCTCTACACCAGTCTTCTGCAGGCCATGCAGGAGCACGCGGTCAAGAAGGCCAAGACGTCGGCTGCTGACTCGTCTTCCTAACACGTGGGTCTTCGTCACCGCCAATGTCTCAGGCCGAGCAGGGCTAGAGACCATTCTCAATTCACAGTCAGTCATCGACGCGGACGCTGTTGGCGTGCAGGAGCATCACTTCATTGAGTGCGCAGTCTGGGAGCAAAGGCTCCGACACATGGGCTGGAAGGCTTCGGCTACCGCAGCCAGAGCAACAGGGCAGGGAGGCACTACAGGTGGTCTCCTTCAGATGGTTCAGCAGCGGCACGGACTTTCGCTGCTAGTTGGCCAAGCTCCAGTTCTTGAGCCAGCGCGCATCGCAGTCAGGCACATGTCAGGAGTCGTGCCTGGTGGTATCCTATGGGCAGTGGTGTACATGCATGACTCGCAGGGTTTGTCGGCGCTCAATTGGGATCTTTTGTGCAAGCTTGGGGCGGTCATCAGGCAGTTCGGCATGCCGTTTATTCTTTCAGGAGATTGGAATTTGAGCCCCGACGAGCTGGTCGGCTCAGGGTGGGTCGAGGCCGTCTCTGGGCACATTCTTCCCCCTCAGCTAGCCACGTGTACGGGTGGAAAAGGCAGGGTGCTGGACTACTTCATCGTCTCAGAGGGTCTGCAGTATCGTCACAAGCTCGCCGTGCTCACCGAGATTGGCACCACGCCGCATTACCCAGTTCTTTTGTCTCTTGAGGGACTGCGGCAAGTCCCCACGCCACCGCAGATTCGTGTGCCTCGATTGTTCCCTCGCCAGCGGCCTCGCGGACCTATGCGAGAAAGCAACCGCTGGCAGTCAGTTATGGAGCAGGCGCTTGCACAGGTGAGCACTCAAGAGTTGTGGGAGAGCTTCGTGCATACCATGGAGCTCGAGTTCGTGGACATCTACCAGATCAACAGTGACGAGGCGCATCTGTACCAAGGTAGGGCCAAACCTTTGCAGCGCAAGCGTGCCGCTGCGCGCAAGCCGTCAGCCATGCCCTATCCGCGTCTCTCGCCTTTCGCCACGTGGTGGAGGCTTGTGACATAAGTCTTTACCGAGCTCGGCAAGTTTCAGTCCCCGTCGTATCGTCGTACCACTTTGTCGTTGTGTGAGAAGCTTGCCGAGCAAGGGTGCAGGTTCGCCGATGCCAGTGCGCAGCCTTGGGTTATTCTGCTCTGGACCGCCCCCTCGCGTTCCTGGGTGCTTTCGGCGGAGCTCGCCTACCACGCCAGACAGCTCTCATCCAAGCATCAGCGCGCGGCTGAGCAGCACAGTGACGCCAGCTGGAAGAGCTGGGTCAAACCTCACAGCAGCGCAGGCGGAGGAGCCCTTTTCAATCTCTCGAAGCCCCCCACCCCATGGCACAGCAGCCCCAGTTTTAGACATGACGGCTCGCTGCCGCCAGCCCCAGCCAGTCAGGCAGAGGAGATGGCGCTCTTGGTTTCCGAGTGGGGGGCGTATTGGGAGGTGGGATCCCTGGCCGATCCGCTTTTGTGGCCGACAGATATGGGCCCTGAGCTGCCTGATTTCGATCTGGATGATCTCAAAGCGTGTCTCCGAAGTTTTCGAGCCAGCAGCGGCGCAGGTTATGACCAGATCTCGCCCCGTCAGTTGCTCGAGTTGCCAGACGAGGGCCTTGAGTGTTTTCGCCAGCTGATATTCACCATAGAGAGCAGCTTCGAGTGGCCTCAGTTGTGGTCAAAAATAGTCTTCATTTTGAAACGTACAGGTGGATTGAGACCCATAGCTTTAATGCACGTCACGTCCAGGGTCCAAGGACGACTCCGCCGACCCCCCATTCGGCGTTGGCAGCAGCAGAACTTTCGGGAGTTCTGGTGGTCGACTCGGGGGAGGGGGTCGGATCGGCTTGTGTGGGTTCAAGCTGCCTTCGCCGAGTGGGCCCAGGGACGCAATCTTTTCGCTGGCACGGTCCTGTTAGACCTTCACAAGGCGTTTGAACACGTTCGGCACGGAGAGCTGCTCAAGGCGGCTCAGACCACGGGATGCGTCAGCTGCGTTTGTTGGTGAGCCTGTATCGGGCTCCGCGGGTCCTGGACCATGCTGGGGCCACCTCGGCCCCCATCTGCACCGAGAAAGCGGTGCTTCCAGGCTGTCACTTTGCCACCCTCATGCTGCAGCTAGTGCTGCTCGCACCGCTTGATACAGTGCAAGCAGCGTTCCCTCTTCGCACTGCTCGTGAGGTTCAGATCGGGGCGGTTGTGGATGACTCGGGGTTGCACAAGGTCGGATCCTCTGAGCAAGTGCGAGACACATTGGTGCAAGCCACACGTTTGCTTCATCAAGAGTTGTGCGCCGTGCATCTGCCAGTCAGCAAGCATAAGTCTCGTGTGCTTGCCTCCTGTCCTCAGCTTCGTTCGCGCTTAGCCCTTGCGCTCAACGCCAAGTGTGTGCTGGGTGTACAGAGTGAGCGCAATCTTGGAATCGATTATGCTGCAGGAGGCGTGATCAAGAGACACACCAAGTCAGGGCGTTTCACTGCCGCGAAGGTGCGTCACAAAAAGATCCTCTATCTGTCTAACAAGCTGTGTAAAAGGCGGGTGCATCACATGGTCCGTGCTGCCGTTCAGGCCTCCACCTCTTACGGGTCGGGGGTGATGGGCAGCAACGGACGTGAGCTCGCGCAGGCTCGTCTTCATCAGGCCACCGTGCAGTCGCAGAGGGTGTCAGGACGCTCGATCACCCTTATGCTGCAGCTTTCTGGCATTCCTCGCATCGATCCTGCGTACCACCTCAACGTCTCTCCTCTCCTCTCTATCGCTACCTCGCTCTGGGACGGTTGGGTTCCTAGTGGGGTGGTGAAGCAAGGCCTCGAAGGCGCGAGGCAGAGACTTCAAGAGCACGGCTCTCCTTGGCAGGCCATCAGAGGCCCCTTTTCCGCCGCCGTCGCCGCGGCCATGCGGCTCGGCATCAAGATGAACGGGCTCGAGTGGCAGCACCCTAGCGTGGGCGTTTTCTCGGTTGAAGCGTTGTGTCCCCGCACGGTCAAAACTGCCCTCGAGACCATCGTCGAGAGTTGGCTTTGGAGCAAGGTGGCCGATCACCTTCAGATGCCCGAGTTTGTGCAAGGACCCTTTTTGGCTCCCATCAAAGCAGGTGTGTCCAAGCTTAAGGCGCACGAAAAAGCCTATGTAGTCAGTGTAGTTTCTGGCGGCCAGTGGCCGCAAGATAGACAATATCAGCTTGGTCTGTCGTCTCAGCAAGAGTGTCAGGTCTGCGCCTCGGCCCCAGGGACCCTCTTGCACAGGCACGCTGGATGCGCTGCCCATCAAGACTTGCTCGAGCTTGAGCGGGAGCCTCCAGCGTGCACGCAGGCCATGGTAGCAGCAGCAGGTAATCCCCTCGTTCGTCTCCTCCTCGAGAGGCTGCTCGCGCCGCTGCCTGCCCCTCCTCCGCCCCGACCCAACCCCCCCGAGGAACTCTGGCTCTTCGGAGCGCCCGATCAGCTAGGAGGGGATTGTTTTCTCGACGGGAGTCTCTTTGACTCCGAGCTCCCGCCCACCGCGCGATCGCTTGGTTGGGCCATCGTTTCCTTGCACGACGATCCGAGCCTCCCCGCTTCTCGAGCGAAGCGCGCGGTGGTGGCTGGTGGTATACCAGCTGGGCACTTTGACATTGATGCGTGCGAGCTTTGGGCGTTTTTCATGGGCCTTAGGCAGGCCCTTCCTGGTGCCGTCTTCTGGACTGACTCCAATTTTGTTTTCCAAGGAGTCTGGAATCGAGGGCGGCAGTTTTGTTGCTCGTCCAAAGCTGCGTGGGCCGACATCTGGAAGCTTGTCTGGCATGCCGTTGAAGACAGAGGTGGTCTCGACGCACTGCGCCTTAACAAGGTTAAGGCGCACGCCTCTCGCGCCGACGTCACCTCGGGTCGTCTCTCCGCCAGGGCTCAGTTGGGCAACGAGCTGGCAGACCAGTATGCCAAGCAGGCCGCAGAGTATGGCAGAGTCGCTCAGCGATATCGTGACCTGTTCAAAAGTCAGTTTAAGGTTGTGCAAGCCCTGACCCAATGAGTTGGCGTGTGTGGGCCTCCCATGGCCGACCTGGACTGTTTGCATGTTCCAGTGTCCAAGCGTGCCAGGGCTCTCAGGACCGATGTGCCCAGGTGGCATGTAATTCCTCCTCCTCCCGTGGTCTCGTCGGTTGAAAGTCGTGCCGATGTTGCGATCGCGGTCCTGAGGAGAGAGGGTCACGCTACCCATCGAGCCTTTCCCTTTGCTCTCGCGGGGGGGAGGCGGGGGGTGGTGTGCGTCCTGTGCGGTGCTGGCGGAGTCACCGTGTCCAAGCAGTTTCGTGACCCATGCCCGCCAGTGCCCTCTGTCTGGGGCAGCCGCGTTTTGCGTGGCCTTGAGCAGGGCAAGTACAAGCAAGGTAAGGAGTGGATCCTCCTCACCGGGGCTTGGAACCCTGTCAGTCTGGAGAGAAGCGGTCAGGGCCCAGACCCAAGCCGCCCTCCCCCTCGAGGAGAGCACCCTGTCGCTGGCCCCATCGACTGGGTGGCGCCCCCAGTCGAGGGTGACAAAAAGGTCGTCCTGATGGGTGCTCTCCCGAGGTTTTTGTCTTACGGAGGCCTTGCTCCGTCGGGGCTCGTGGGGATCTCATGAGCGCCTACTGCGTGCGCAGGAGGA